AAGGATGATCTGTGACAGGTTGCTTAAGCACGCTTATAAAGTTCAAGTCGTCTTCATTTTAAGGTTTCCAGTTAAAGGCACCGCTGTGGAGCAGAGGTTTATGTGCACACACACAGAGGCAGAAGTAAGCTCTGTGGTAATTAAACTTTACTGAGTAATAATCAGAGATTATCAGCTGAGTAAAGCATAAAAGAAAACACTTGGGGTAATGTGGGCAAACCTTTCAACAATATTTCATGACATTTATTGAAACCAGTGTTGCCCTGGACACAGAAGAATGCTTCTGAGTACAGGCGGCCAAACAGCTGGCAGCCAAACAGCTGGCAGCGTGGTTGTTAAACACCCATTTTTATGCATCTAAATAAAATCTGAAATGTGCCTTTATTCAGGAGAATTGGTGACAACAAAGACGATGTAGCATGTTCTGTTTCAGATTTTGCTGATCACTCTCAAAAATACATAACCGATATTTCGTGTTGCCCTGTGAAAAATTTAATATTTTAAATTACTCTATCAAGGTAATGTAACGTACTACATCCCGCTTAGTTTTATAGCAGATGTTTAAACATTGAGACATGCATGTGTTCCCTCTGGCCTACAGCGATGTCTCCATCAACCAAAAACGAAACCATTAGTGTTTTTGTCCTGTCAGGCAGCAGGCTCCTCATCAAAGATAAATCATAGACTGTATATAAGCGCTGGACATAACCACTGTGACGTGACCAACGCTGTCATTTTTAAAGAGTCATTGCAGGGCTCGCAAAATCGCTAGCCCGACGTCCCGGAGCTAGCGATATCTCCGGTCGGGCGACCATACTCTATCTCAGCCCCGCCTGTCGGGCTATATGATAACCTGACGGGTGGGGCTGAGATAGATTTTGGTCGCCCGACCGGAGATATCGCTAGCTCCGGGACGTCGGGCTAGCGATTTTGCGAGCCCTGCATTGTTTTTTGTTTTTTTCTGTTACCACTGCGTTGCTGTTTTGCTGTGTGCCGGTCTCTATGGCAACACTAAAAATTGAAGTTCGTCCAATATAGTAATGAGTAAATGGGATTTTTATTGAACTCACCAGTTAATCCAGGTGTGCTGACACAGGCTGCTGTAGCAGCTAGTTCTCCATTGGGCCTCTGAACTGAACGTTGAGCGTTTTTATGCTTTTGATGCCTTTTTCGAGCATTTTTAATGGATTTGACTAAAAGTTTGTGCTTCAGTTTCGGTGGTTGCGCTTCTAGTTTTTTGTTATTAACAGATGCATATGTGGCTGTGCTTTGCAACCGTCAAGAAGCTGATAAAGTCTTCAACCTTGATTTCAGTTTCAAAATAAGGCATCCAGAAGCAGTGGGTGACCTCACTATGGTTGCAGACTATCCATAGAAGGCGAGCAGTTTGTTTAAACTGAAGGAAGCCTCAAGTGGACGTTAGAGGAACTGCATTTTTTTGCATTTCATCATTGTCTTCTGCTTTGTTTGTATATAAGATTAAAAAAGAAGCATTCTATACCTACTAGTCAGTATTCAGGGTGAGAACAGGCTTATGATGTTCAGTTGTTTGCTTATCAGCAAATTCTGTGAACAACCAAACTGATGATGATTTTAATCTTTCTAAATGATGTTTAGTTTTCTTATAAACAACTTTTTATGGGACAAACCAGTGAATTAATCAAACTGAATTAATTTTTTTCTTATGATGAACTTCTGTTATAGCCAAACAGATCTAAGTTTATTCCTGTTGTGTAATTTCCTTGTGTTTCAGGTCAGGCATTTCTCCTGCTCTTACGTGGGAGCAGTGGTTCAGGGTGAATGGCTTTCTGCTGGCGGCGTTGTGCATAGTCGGGATTTTCTCCGTGGTTGTGGTGGTGCTGCTAGGCTCCCACTTGTACCTGATTTCTATCAATTGCACCACCTGGGAGTTCATGTCCCGCCACAGGATCTCGTACCTGAAGACCTGCAAGGACGAGGAGAATCCGTTCGACCGTGGCGTCCTCTGCAACCTGTGGGATTTCTTCTGCATCTGCAGGACGGTGATGTGGGAGAAGGTTTACCACAGAAACACGCTGAATCCAGTCTGACCCCACAGAGGCTGGAGTCAACTAATCTCTGACTGGTTTTGTATTTTTACAAAGATGAAGACAGGAGAATGAGGAAGTGTTTGTCTTTAATTGTTTTATCCAGATACAAAAATCAAAAGGAAACGTTTTGGACTGAAACAGCGGACCGTCACAGGAGGATTGTAATCACTCTGGTGCTCCCAGCAGTTTCCTGTTCTTGTTTTCATGTAACAAATTAATCCAAACCTCAGAGGTATCTGTGCGCAGTGTTGCCTTAACACAATCTCTTTACCTGTATTTACAGTTAACATTGAAACACACGTTCAGTGTTGGTGTTTCACCGTGTGATGCGCAACAGGTTTGCGTGTGGGGGTGTTTTTGACTTGTGTCACTGGCACCGTTTGATTATTCCAGCTACACTTTGAGAAGGTCAGCGGACGTAAATAAATAAAAAGAACCTGATAGTCTGCACGCAGTCGTAACTGTTGATAGTTTCACACATATGGAAAGGATAATTGGAGTTGGACCTTGTTTCAGTCTCAGCCCCTCGTTAGTGCTGCCTGTGATTTTATGAACCAAAAGATGCTCTTAGTGTTAACGGCACATTAAAGGGCTCATTTTTATTCTTGGATTCTAGACTAGCTTTCCATGATTCACGGCTCAAAATAATCTTTGGTACAGCCTCTCAGTTCGTTCTCTGTCTGAAACGAGCTGCTTTAGCTCCTCCCTCTTTAAACCAGTTGCCTTCTGTTTGGCTGTTATCTGCAAACAGAAGGTTTGAACACCCAGTGGGCGGGGCTTTTAAGCTAAAAGAGCATAGGCTGTGTATAGAAGTTGGATTTAGTTGATGTGATGTGACCACTGGTTTGCAAAGGCTCGTCTTAAACACTTTCCCCCATAAACAGGACATCTGAACACTTAATGAAGAGTCATTCTTCGTCTAGCTATCGTCTTTGCTTGTTGAAATGAGACACCAGTCACAAAGCAAACCACGCTGCATCATCATCATCATCATATATATACAAAGAACAGAAGAAAAGTTTGAATCTGAGCATTAAGAGCAGTCTGAAATCTCAGCTTTTGGCTCTCAGTTATGTTTGACTCTTCAGTCAGAAAGAGGAAAAGAAGGAAAAGCAGATCCATGTTAAGTATTTTCTGAATGTCAAACTGAGCTCTCTTGCCTTGAAGTTAGGTGGTGTTTAAAATATCAGTGTACAAATGGCACATAAGTTGTTTGGGTTTTTGTTTGTTGAATAAAAGAGAAAAATAAGCACTAAATGTGATTGAAACACTCAGGTTTGGTCACTGCTCTCTGTAAAGCAGGGTTGTCAAATATAAGGCCCGGGGGCCAGAATTGGCTCGGCAAAGACTCCAATCTGGTCCACGTGTGAAATTCGTAACGCTGACAGAAGGGAGCATTTAAAGTTTAAATAAGTTTGACATCCCTGCTGTGAAGGTTTCTGTTGTTACGTGATGAGAGTGGTGACCCCACATTATTTACACTAAATGCCTTTAAACCTGCTGATGTTTGGTACCCGCCTGTAAACTGATGTCAGTAAGTTCATTTTTTACCAAGTTTTAACTGTAATGTTCTGTTTGTATTTATTGACGACAAAGAGTACATTAAAACACAGATGATATGCATATCGTTATAGAGTACATCTGTACACACTGACATTCCCAGTCAGGATTCACGTACATACATAGAGTACATAAATACATACAGTACTGGCACAGAAGTAACATGTAATATTTAGCAGCATAAACTTAAAGTGCTACAACAGTTAAACCACCTGACTGCCCTGCTATGGTTTCTGAAATTAGCTGACAGCAAGTGCAGCGTTCAGTGTCCTGCTCAGAGGTGGCCTTCAGAGCTGTTAAAGAGCAACATAACACCCTGAATACATCCCTTTATATGATCAAAATGGTGTGTGCTATGGTTAAATAACTGCAAAAATATATTTGAGAGAGGGAAAGCAGGCCCTCCAATGCAAAGTTGATGCAGTGATCAAGCGGATTTTTCTTTATTGGGGGCTTTAACTCCAGTTAAAAAAACAAAACAAAACTTGAACAGCACTGAGATGTGAAAGGTGGAAAGCTGCCTTTTTTAGAAGCCTTTATGTCCCAGCATGTGAATTCATCCAGCCATCTTTCTTTTCCTACCCGGGTCAGGGTTGCAGGGCTCGGACGTGGGGTCCACAGATACAGGATGAACAGGGAAATGCACAACCGCTGACCCTGAATTTAAAACCCAGCCTATAAGGTGACAGTTTTAACTACTGCACCACAGGTGTGAATGTAAGGTAAAATAGGAACTCTTTAGTTGTTAAAAAGATGCCTAGAATCAGTGAAATAAACCCTTTTTCCTCCCAATCTTGGATTTTTATTCTGGTGCTGTCACCAGTAGAGTTCCACTTTGGCACATTACGGCTCACCTGGTTGAGCAGGTGACCTACATGCCAAAGGCTACAACAGGGGCCTGGGTTTGAGTTCACGCCCAACCTTTTTCCTTAATGTTATAAATAAATACGCCCCCTTGATCTATTCATTTCCTCTTTTGCTCGCATTTAGGTCCTGACTCAAGTCTTGAACATGGCACAAAGCCCCTTCAGTGTGTCATAATAAGTAATTATCTATTTTTTACACTACAAATGTGATAAAGAAGCTCTGAAGGTTTGAAGTTGTAACTTTGACTTTCCTTAATGAAAAAAAAAAAAAAACAAATCAGGAGAAAATCCCATTCACTCTTTGGGTAAACTTCTAATTTTGTCAACGAGTTGCTCAAATTAATGGCTTGTATGCAGTTTTGAAAGCTTGCTAGAGTGATCTGCTGCTCACTTCTGAACCTAATTCGACTGGATTTTGGCCTCAGTAACTGTGACTGTGAATTCAAGTCTTTGTAATAGCCTGAAAAGACATTTCACCTTTCACGTTATTGGATGTCAGTCTTTTTAAGCCTGTAACACACTGACCAGATTTAGCCCAGAATAATATTCACGGATGTCTCGTGCTTAGGCCGTCAATATCTCTCTGAAACCGGATCAGTGTCCTGTACAGTAAACATGACTGAATATGAAATGCTGCTGATCGAACGATGGATTTAGTGTTAAGTTACACTTTAAAGCCCCAGGCCTCATCTGAACCCCAGCTCGTCACCAGCTGCAGGCAAATTCCAGGATTTCTAGGAGCACATGAACAAAATCAGGGCTTTTTCCTCCTCTTTTTATTTTTTATTGCCTTGATATCAGTAGAGCTCACTAAATATGAGTCACTAAATTCAAAATACAGATACTTTATCACTAGTATGGCTATAATAGATTATCTATGGCTTCTTTTATACTGCTAGTGATTACAGGATTTTCTAGTGCACGAGTTCACCACAGTGCCATGCGCTTCCTACTGCTGTAACAGAGACGAAGGAATGACTTCACACATGTTGGACTGAAATTAACACTTTTTTTTTTAAAGGTTTTGAAACCAGAAGTCAGAGTAGCTTGTTTCATCTGTTTGGTCAAGGCAGTGGGCAAAGCCTGTCACAGTGATGCATAGAGACGGCAGCACATACTGAACCTCTGCAGGAGAAGAAAATGATAAGCAAAGGCCACAAAGCGAGCTCTATCTGTCGCCAGCGCACAGGAGGCTTGAAGAGGCTGTGAGGATGACTTTATGCTCCCAGGTTTATCCATGTTATCATCTGAGTGGACATAATCAAACTGAAAGCACATTTATGATAAATATGCATCAGGAAGAACCAGGAGGTAATCCCATCTGACCCCTTCAGAATCAGCTGATTGTTTAATTATGACGTCCACATTTACAGGCCCACTTCACACTTTATAAGTACCAGAGATATCCACGGGACATTTTCAGAGATGAGAACTTTAACCAAATCAATTCTACACTACAAAATCTGAACTTTACTATCATGTAAATGATCATAGTTTCAATAGTAAACCTGCTCTGGTTTAATGTGTCCGTGGCATACAGGAGAGGAACAGAAACAAGTGTTGGGACAGGTAGCTGCTCAGAACGAGTTATAGCATATGAAGTCAGCTTTTTACCTACATTTACTACTAAATTTGTTACTTTTGATTATCTCCTAGCTTTGGTTTCTTTAGTGGTAAAATCAGGACTTGGATGACAGATGGCTTTGGGATGACTCATGATTTTCCTTTGGAATAATCTAGTGTTCCTTTTTACTCGTTTTAATAAAGTTTCGATGGGATCTATCTGCTGCTCAAACACATTTTCTAAAACTTTGGTTAATTTTCAGGCTGTCGATTTGATTTGAGTCTTCGTCAGTGTTTTTGTGTAAGTTACCGCAAGCGGTCTTCCTCTTTGTAGCTTTCCTGTGTGATATCATCATGCTTGTTGTGATATCATGTCATCATACATGAGACATTTCGTCTTTCATGCATGTGGTAATTGCTTGGCACTGATGCACGATCGAGTGAGAATGAACAGTTGGGGAAGTGTGTGACACTTATTCACTTCATTCATTTATAAATAAACATGAAGGAACCCAAATTGTTGCTGTATTAGAGGCAAATTTACAAAACCCACTTAGTGTAAAACAAAGCTACTTCACAAGGATCGCCACAGCAGGCGGCTGCACATACCCGGTTTTATGCACAACCCTCTGACGTAGCTGCTAAAGGAAAAACCCGTGTAGTGTCGCAGAGGAAATAACAGCGACATGAGGTGAAGTAATAACATGTGAGGGCTTAGTTGACACAAGCCAGGATATTTGTAGTTCAGCATTTCTCTCAATAGTTTAAATGAAAATCTATTATCAGAGTTTAGCTACTGTAAATTCAGAACTATCTTTTGAACCTCCTGTTTTTGATCTGCACATAGCATATTTATCTAGAGGTGATAAAGGTATAGACTCTTCAAGCATCCCGTGTCTGTCTCTATCAGATTTGTTTCAACCTTTCACCAGATCTCCGAAATAAACCGCCAGCAGGAGGAGGTGAGAGCAGGCTGGCTCTCTGCAGAGATTATAAAGGGTCATTATGACTTTGTTTGCTCAGTCAGAAACACAAAAAAATGATGCTGCCTGGTTATTTGTTTATCTTTGTTGTGCTGTCAGATCAATGACAGCATGAACAGTCAGCGTTTTTAGCCATGGGATC